TTTACAAAATCCGAACCATTTACTAGCCACAGAAGTCTCAACCAAACCCAGAGAATCAATATCACATCCTGAACGGTGCTGAAAGATGGCCCACAAGAGCTATCTGGCTGCTAATTGGTTCCCTGTGGCTTCATTCAACAATCCCTAGTAGGGTGGATGGGTACAAGGGGGTAAGGGCAATCAAAGGATACAAATTTCCAGTTATAATAAAATAAGTAAGTCCTGGGATGTAATGTATAGCCTAATGACCATAGTTAACAATACTGTAGTGCATATTTTGAAAGTCACTAAGAGAGTAGATCTTAGAAGTTCTCATCACAAGAAAAAAAATTTTTGGACCCATGTGTTTAACAAGGAATGTTAACCAGTTATTGCAGTGATCATTTTGCAATATATACAAATATTGAACCATTACACCTGAAACTAATATGTTATGTGTCAATTACACCTCAATAAGAAAAAAAGAAAAAAAAGCCCAGTTCCCTGGAATGATCTAGAACATGTCTCTGTCCCTTGCAAGTGCCAACTAACTTGGCCAGTTATTATTGTGTCTAACATGTATAAGTACTCAAAAATTTGGGTAGAATGAAAAACTCCTCAGTGGAAGCAATCTTTAAGAAGCTGAAACTAAGCTAAGATTGACCATTTTCAACCTGTCGAGATATTTCATCATAGAGTTGAGTACTAGAAGAAATATACCCCTCAAAAGACAAAAACATTTTGAGCTTGCATGAATGGCAGGGTGTACAGGTGTTGGGTGCAAGGACCATGATGCGAATAGGCACAAGGAAGCAGGCAGGCAAGCTGGCTAGCCAGGAGGGACAATTCCAGATAGTTTCATATTGCCAACCCTCTTCAATCGTCTTATCTATCAATGGAGACAGTGACTTTCTAAGACCCACTCGGTTCAAACGGGACCAGAGGGCACAGATTCTTCTCATCTTGCTCTGCTGCCTTTTATTTCACTCCAGGGTCTGCAGCGGTGGGGTGGGGAACCCAGCTGGGAGACAGGGATGGTCCCCGGCAGGAAGGGTCCTCTATGTCACGCTAGAGAGTTAGACAATTGGGAGCCAGGGCAAGTTCATGTGTTTAAGCAGAGAGTCCCACTGTCAGCGTTGGGGGAGTGTCGAAGATAAAACAGAGAAGGGAAGGACCAGAAGTAGCATATGTCTTTAATGGGTTGACGGCATAGAGTCAGCTCTCAAATATTCACTTGAGAGAAGAGTGGTCAAAGTACGGGTAGAAGAGAGAATCCAAAAATGTTTATTTGAGGTGAAGACTGACCATCTTAAAGTGTGCAACACAGAGGCATTTAGTACATTCACAGGGTTGTGCAGCCATCACCTCTATCTGGTTTAAAACCTTTTCATCACTCCAGAAGCAGACCCCATACCCATTAAGCAGTCCTCTCTTCTCCCCAGTCCCTGGAAACCACTCATCTGTTTTCTGTCTGTGGATTTACCTATTCTGAATACTTCTGGTAAATGGAATTGTGCTATATGTCCAGCTTCTTTTCCTTGGTCTATTTTCGTGGTCCATCCATGGTACAACATGTATCAGTGAGAGAGAAAAATGGAATCTTGCCATTTGCATCAATGTGGATGGAACTAAAGCATATGATGCTAAGCGAAATAAGTCAATCAAAGAAAGGCAATTATCATATGATCTCACTGATATGTGTGGAATTTAAGAAACAAAGCAGAGGATCATAGGGGAAGGGAGGAAAAAATAAAACAAGATGAAATCAGAGAGGGAGACAAACCATAAGAGACTCTTAATCATAGGAAACAAACTGAGGGTTGCTGGAAAGGAGGGGGATGGGGGGGATGGAGTAACTGGGTGATGGGCATTAAGGAGGGCATGTGATGGAATGAGCATTGGGTATTATATAAGACTGATGAATCACAGACCTGTACCTCTGAAACCAATAATATTATTATATGTTAGTTAATTGAATTTAAATTTAAAAATGTTAAAAAAAAATCATGTTTTCAGAGGCGCCTAGGAGGCTCAGTTGGTTAAGCGTCTGCCTTTGGCTTAGGTCATGATTTCAGGGTCCTGAGATCCAGCCCGGCATGGGGCTCCATATTCAGTGGGGAGCCTGTTTCTCCCTGTGACCCTCCCCCTGACTTGTGTTCTCTCTCTTGCTCTGCTCTCTCTCTTTCAAATAAATAAATAAATAATCTTTAAAAAAAGAAAATTCCTAAGACTGCAAAAGCAGAAGACCAGAATCTGAAGGCAATCTCAGTATGAGCAGTAAGAGAGGTCAGGGTAACCACCATTGCTCGAGCCTGAGGGACTAGCATCCGTAGCATCGTGAAAACAAATAGGAAAGACAGAGAAGATTCAGGTAGGGCCAAGGGTGACAAGTCTGTTTCTGGACTCTCTGAGCTTGAAGTGCTACGGGAAATCCATCTTGGAGAAGTCCACCAGGCAGCTGCAGAGTCTGCAGCTCTGGAGAGAAGCCACCAGGCAGCTACAGGGCTGAGGAGGCATGGAGATGCGCTGTTTTACTGTCCTCCAAGGCTCAGGGGGCCACAGTCGTCTGCAACTACTTGTGTCATTCGGAGACACATGCGACGCACGAACTCTCCTTGCCTTTTCCGGAATGTGACTCATCCGATTACAAAACTTCAGAGGTGAACAATAACGAGCCAGACTCAAGATAGAGCAAATATTATCCTCATCCTAGAGCAAAGCTCATAGCACGTTCTGTTCTGGCTTCGGTAAAAAGAATCCATTCACGGAGCCCACAGCCGGCACTTACCAATAAGTATCTCCTCTACCACCTCTGAACCTTGGATCGCCTGGTTCCATCGTTCTCTGCTTCCAGTACAGTCCAGAGTATCTACCTTCCGCAGACTCCTGTCAGTTTTATGATTCATTTAGAATCATGAAGTTTGGTGCAAATATGTAGCCACCCCTAGTCTGACTGCAACTCTCCAGGTAAAATACTGACTGCAGCCCAGCTGAGTAATCCCTGTGAGTGATTCTAACCCATAAAGGCAGGGAGAGCCTGACCCTGCCACCTTCTCTGTGTACATCCAACCTCAGCCAACATCACAATTCTCTGAAGATCCTTGCCTCACCTCTACCTGGCATTGAATGTCAGTAATCATTTCCCTCCCTGAGGAGCTATTTGTGACCTGATGCCAAGTCCTACACAAATCCAGTTCCACGGGGGCAAGACGAACTTTGTTTGCTTTGAATGTATTTATTCACTTATGTGTATATATAATTTAAATATCTATATGTAGGCATATACACATATAACATTTACAAAATATACTCCTAAGATGTTTTCTGTACCCTCAAGGTCAGGCTCAAACTGGAAATTCTGAGAAAAGAAACCATTATGGCAAACTCTCTAGCAAACTTAGATCAAAGGAGAAAGAAGGAAGTAAAAAACTAGCACCTCCAAATGCAGAGGAAAGAGACCCATAAGGACAGGAGAAACCCCCCCAGTCCCTGGGGTAAGTACACACGTAAGTTAAGGAGCAAGGGTTACCCACGATGAAAGAACATGCTGTGAAGCTCACCGAGTCCCCAGGCAAGCTGTGGTCACCGCAGCTCCACATTCTCGCCCTTCACTCACTCCCTCACCCTGCACGTCCCTGACGACGCCTAAGTGCCAGGCACTGTTCTAGGCACCGAGACCCCACAGTGAACTACAAAGACACACCCTCTTCCCACAGAGCTCAGGTCCTAGAGGCACATTAGTGAAGGCGACAAAGAAATAAAACCCGTGGCAATTTCAGACAAGTGCTGACAATATACAAGTAATTCACCAAAATCCATAGTGTGTCAGACGGGAAGGTAGACAGGGATGGCCAGGGTGGAGGCAGGGACAACTTGAATGTGTAAGTGGGGGGGCCAGGTGGCTGAGGTGAGATGTCAGCAGGGACCTGAAGGCGAGGGACTGAGTCCCAGGGCTGTGGATCTCTGGAAAAAGAATGTCAGAGCCCCCCAACCTCGAGAACATCAGGGCATCTGAGCGGCTGTGAGGGGGCAGGGGTGGAAACAGAGGTAGCGACACCAGCTCCTTTGCTGTGATTTGTTTTGCCAGCCATGTGTCAAATGGAGTTGTAAACAACTTGGGAGCAGAGCCTGTGCTGCCATGTGCACATCTGCATCCCCAGTGCATGGTACGGAGCCTGAATTAAGTGTGGGCAGGTGCATGGCTGGATGGATGAGGAGTAACTGGGTGAATCGGGAAACTTGGCCAAAGGGAAAATGCACTAAGTGAGGCCGTTAGCAGGTAATAATGCTGGCTTTAGCCATCACCGTAAAGGCCTAACCAATAGCTTTTAACTCCATCAATATGCAGGATATTTTCCAAGAAAATATACAGCTTTAATCTTATAACGGAAGTCAACAACAAAACAGCTTTTGCGTTACTGTATGCAAAGGGGAATATATATATATGTATATATATATATATTCATTTTCTAGACCGCTTTGCTAGAATACATTCACTCCCTCAGATAAAAAGAAAAGCCCTATATTTAAACCATGGTACCTGAATAATAGATATAGGTGGCTTATTATTTGTTTACACAGCTTTAATAGACAACCATAACACATTTTCCAGCTCATAGGAACAGGAGACTCGAGGAAAAAGCTACTGCTTAATTTTGCATTCTAGTAATAATATTCTCCACTTTGACCCATAAAAGGAATTAATGGCCAGCTCATCTGAATGGAAATGATAAAAAAGTAGTTTTAGATCACGGTTCACCAAGCCTTTTCTGTAGAGGGTCAGACAGCAAATATTTTAGGCTTTGCAAGCAACATATAGTTATTGTCACATAGTCTTCTTTGCTTTTTTAGGTTTATTTTTGTGTGGTTGTTGTTGTTTTATAATGCTACGAAAAATGTAAAAACCATTCCTACTTTCTGGGCCCTACAAATAAACCATAGTTCACCAAATGGGACACTTGGAGTCCCAAGCCCCTAACAATTAAACCCAAGAAAGAAATCTGCATATATCTTGGGATTACCTCTTTCAGTCTCTCCAGCTCATTCTGGAGGGCTTGTTTGGATATTTCCACTTCAATCATCTGCTGTCGGAGACTTTCGTTTTCATCCTCAGCTTTAGCACGCTTTTCCTCCACAGTTTCAAGTTCATGATGCAATCTGACAGACACATCTTTGGCTACCTGTATCAACCAACAGAGATAGTCATCAGGACATAAAGCTTTCTGTGTGCTCAGGGCACATTCAAACAACTTCAGAGGCAGAATCATTAAGTGATAGGATATCACAGTAAAGGGCAAAGACCCTGGCAATATTAACAAGCCAATCTTTAAAGGAGGAGGTATCAGTTTCATACATGAAATCCACATTATGAGCGAGGATATGACCTTTATCTGGATTAAAAGGCTACTGTGGATAGCTCTACCTCGTTAGAGAGTATCACCAAGAATGCCAATTCTGCTCACGCACACATGCTTTAATGATAAATTAGAAATAATAACAATAACTACTAATCAATCAATAAACATTTCTGTTCCCTAAGGCAATACTAAAACTACCCGCAAAAAAAAAAAAAACAAAAAAAAAAAAACAAGATAATCCTGTAAATTAGGTAGTCAAGTTTTAAATTGTCTACTGTGGTAAAATATCTGAATGTTAAAAGCAGTTAAACGTTTTTACCTTCTAAAGGGAAACAAGGAAAGAGATTTTGCAAGAGAAATATAAATCACCCTTACATCCCACTGAATGACATTTTGTTAGCGGTTTATAGATTTGATAGAATTACAAAGATTCTTTTCCTGTTATCATAATGAAAGGCGAAATGAGATTTCATAAGTACTCCCATAATAAGGACTTTATGCATAATTCATCTCTTGATAAATGATTTGATAATCAGGGCATGAGAGAAGCCATGCTACCCATGGAGAGATCAAATGGTATGATGTCTGGAATTCCTTCACCTCATTCCCACCTCTGCCAATGGTTTTCAAAAACACCTTAGACAATTAGCTTCAGACAGTCAGTTATGATCCTATTTCTCCTTCAGTTAAATCAAAACACCATCCTTGGGTTATGGTCATTTCAGGTGTTCTGCATTCTAGAAACTTAAGTAACAATAAAAACATTAAGTGATTATAGTCAACCTTTATGAGTGGTCTTTGACTATCATTGAATTGATAATCAATAGATTTTTAAAAATATTCCAGATCTTTAGAAGACGTTTCTGTACAATTCTACCCAACTGTCAGACCAAGTGGCAGATATCTTTTTTAATTTATTTTTTTAAAGATTTTATTTATTTGAGATAGAGAGCAAGAGAGGCAGAGCATGAGCAGGGGCAGGCACAGAGGCAGAGGGAGAAGCAGGCTCCCCACTGAGCAAGGAGCCCTTTGCAGGACTTGATCCCAGGACCCTGAGATCATGACCTGAGCCGAAGACAGACGCTTAACTGACTGAGCCACCCAGGTGCCCCAATTCTCTTTTTTTAAATTGTAGATCCCTTACTACGATTTCTTTTCTTTTCCTTAGGTTTTAAGATTCCAGTTCATATGACAGGTTTAAATCTTGGGCTGTCAAAGCCATAAGACTACACATAACCTATACACCATAAGGTGAATGAAGAACGTGTATGCTGAAATCTGTTGAGAAAGAGAGAACTACTACTAGAATGGCAGGACCGTGGGTAGGTGGGTCCGAAAGCTGCCGGCCTCAGCCCTGCAATCCTGCCCCCTGCGGCCCCTTCTGGGAATGAGCACTCCATCAGTCCTGCTCACTCACCTTTAAGTCCTGTTCCAGACTCCGGATGAGCTCGCCATCTACCTGACCAGTCTCAGCCACTTTCAGGCTCTTCTGCTCGGCTTTCCTGAGGCGGTACTGCAGGATTCGGCAGTTTTTATGAGCGCGGTCCAGCTCTCGCCGAAGCTCCTGCAGCTGGTAAACATCTTCCTCTAAGTAACTGTCTCTCATCTCCTCCATTTCAGCGCGGAGTTCATCCAGTTCATCCTACACAAGCCAGATGGAGCAGACTTATAAGCCAGGTCCGCTGGGACAAGGATGGGTCCACCCCAGCTCTGCAATACTGGACGTTAACCACCTGTGCACTTACCCCGCGGCTGATGGGCACACCTGTGTCAGAGGACACAGGAACCTCTGGAAAGGGTCACACGAGACAATATCCTCAGATGTCTGTTCAAATCTCATGGATCCAGAAACTCAATACCAGGAGGGATTATTCACTACAGCCTGCCAGCATTTATTCTATTCCCAATATTTTCTTACATACTCAGAATCACAAATAAAATCAGCTCTGCAGATAACTGAACCTTTAGATTCAAACCAAACACTGACCTAAACCTTATCTCCAGGGCACAGTCTCGGGACAAAGAGGAGTTGCACAGAGCCCTGCCTTCGAAGGACATAAACTTTAATGGGATCATAACTGAACCGCCCTGGAATTATGACACACCTGCAAATGTCCCTAAAACTCGGTTCCACCATACAAGTCTCAGCACTGACTATGTGACTCACGATTCCAAAGATATAACTTTTGCATTATCTCAAATCCACATTGGGTTTGGTTTTTTTCCATTCACTTGGCCTTCATTTCCCATCTCCACTTTACTCTGGCATCAGCATGAAGAGACTGTGGGTACAGGAAAAACCCAGGAATTGTCCTTGCTCCCCCTCCTCCCCTCCCATTCCACATCCAAACCAGTGCTGTCAGCCCAAGAGCAACATACATGTGGGGCACTCTCTCCCCAGTGGCTGCACACCACAGCTAGTCCCTGCCTTCATCTGTCCCGAGGGAGCAGGGGCACACACAGGCAAGTTGTGTGGGGCTCCCTCCTTCCCCTTTAGCCAGTTCTCCACCCAGAGTTATCCTTTACTATGGAACTCAGACCATGCCCCTCAGACCTTCCAGGGGCTTCCCGATGCCCTGAGAAAATTCTTCAAAGTCTTCCCCAGGGCCTATGAGCTAGCCCCTTCTTCCCTGCCATACTGCTGGTCTCACGGGATCTGGATTGCTGAAGGCCTTCCCACCTGTTCTACCCTCTCCTTAAAATGTTCCTCTCCAACTTTTACAGAGTTCATTGTCACATCATCTGGAAGGCAGACACACAGCACCTTCCCTGACCACCCATCCCCCCAACCCCACCGTCTCTAATTCTTCCTGCCCTGCTCTGTTTTCTTCCCACCTCTTTATCACCAGCTACTAGTTATTTGTGCTTCTTCCTATTCTTGTCTGTCACCCATACTGAAATGTGAGTGGCAGCTCCCCTGCATTCACAGCGCCCAGAATGGTGTGAGCCACACAGCAGGCCCTCAGTAAGTATTGGTGGGATGAACACACACAAACATTGGTCAATCCCAACAAAGACCAAATTGTAAAGACGACCAAAATCAAACACAAACGCACCTTTGTTTTGTTCCAGTCTTGTAACCTAATTACAAAGAATTCTTCCCAAACCCACAGATGTAGCTGCAATAAGCGAGACATAAACCCTATTGAAGTATTACAAAAGATTTTAACAAGGAGTAATTTGGAAGGTGGAAGATTAAGAAAAGCATTCTAGGCATTTTCTTGATTAGTTTGATCACGATGGTTTAAATGTCTCCAGACTAGGATACATTCAGTCATTCCTTTTTGTTTTGTTCAATTAACAGTGAGGGTCAAGGAAAAAACTCTCCACGATGTGGACACCCTAAGTTGTCAGCTCTCATCCTGCTACTCAGTTTGTTCCTGATTCTCTCCACTCTCACTAATCCTGCATTTGTTCTTAAAAGCAGGGATTTACTTATAATAAAGAACGACAGCTTCCCAACATCAAAGCCTCAGGTAGATAAGAAATTGACCAGAAGGGAATCTCCTGAAGAGTAATTTAACCTGGAAAAGTTTAAGTGTAACAAATAAATCTTCCACCTTCAGATTTTGTACTCTTTATGGAAAAGTACAAATTGGCACAGACAGTTGCCCAGCCAACCTCAACCATAGGCAGTGGTCCACTGGAAGGAGCACAGATGTAGTAGCATCTCATTCCCCCAAACCACAGCCTGTAGCTTCTCCCCAATCTGTCCACACTACCCTAACGAAGACAATGGCCTACTCAACTGACCTTGACTCCAAATGGAGCCTGTCTGAATGGACTGCCAAGAGGAAGGAATGTTAAAGAAGAAAAGCTTTACCATGCCCCAGTAGTAAATTGATATAAAGTGGTTTTTTTCTCAGCTTCTGAATGTTCTTACACAATTTCTATAGCAGCGGTCACAACCTCATTAAAAATATAAGATGTTCTACTGTGTCTTAAGAAAAAGGTAAGTCTTAACGTTGAAAAGTGTTGTGAAGTATAAGCAAGTTTTGTTTCTTTCCTGTTTTCCTTCATGGAGAGCTCTTCCTATACATCTTGTTCCTAGTAGGAAAATTCGCTGCGACTGGGAGTTCACAGACCAAGCGTGGAAGCCAGTCAGTTGAACATATGTGAATAGGATGGACAGGCTGGGCTCTTCAGGGAATGAGAGAACGCAGCTCTTTCAGCACGGTCTTTGCCAACATCAGCAAAGAGTAAGTTGGCAGACTGATGCCAGATCCCTACGCTGAGGCTGTGATGCTGTGTGGGAGCCATGCCCCTGACCCGCCCCATGCTGGGGGAGACCAGCTGCAGACTGCAAGCTTTAACACAGGCCTTGTGGGTGTCAATCTTCTGGTAAAGATTAGGTAATTAATCCCGAAGCTTCAAAATCAAGGTCAAGTTTCTCTTGGGTTCTACCTGTATATATGATGGGTCTTTCAGAAAGAGCCTATTCTCTACTTGTGTCTGAGTATAGTTAAAAGGTAACTGTTTCATTGTATAACTAACACACAGTTCGATACAAGCAATAATCATGACATGTATATGTATACATATAAATATATAGTAACTGTGGCCATTCTGCTCATGGAAGGAATTGTCTGTGATTGCTTTTCCTTCTAGAAAGCTTTTCCTTCTAGAAAGTCATTAATGCCTGGAATTACCTGTTACTCAAACAAGTTTTCAAAGTGCAAAAAAGCCATAAGAAAACATAAAATACAACTTTTGGGTATAAAACTGTTCTCTAGCTTTCAGATTTTGTACCAGGAGGACCCTCATGGACCCAAATATCAAATGCTGGATATGCTCTATAGATGCGTAAACAACTACGCAAGCTAAAAGAAAAAAGTGTGTAAGGGCTAGATGAACCGGCACCTCCAAATCATTCAGTAGGCCAGATGTAAGCACCTCATATTTTTTGGCATAAATAATCACCAACATTAGTTGCACTGAAAGGAAAATTAGGCAGAGACTATAATTGCATGTATTTGAATCATTGCTTTTATAAGTCATATTTTATCTAAATTTGTAGAACAGAAGATATCTGATTCAGCACTTTACTTTCATTACTAACCCTATTCTCACCCTGCCAGGAACATATTGCCCATTTCATAGAAAAGGAGAGCAAACCCACGCTGGTTAGCATGTCCAAAGCCTCCACAGCTAATAAATAGAAGCTAGACTGCACACCCACGTGCTCTTTCCAGTAAATACTATAAACTATTTGCAACAATCAAGACAAATGAAACAATAATAAGCCTTAAATCATGCTTTTAAAAGCCCACCATAGGTATGACATAATAATGCAAGTTAACATTTTTAGATCTTGACAACTGTCAATGTGTGAGCATACCCATTTTCTCAACTGGCCCTCAGAAAAACACTGCTATATGCAGCGAAGATATTAATACTCCCATTTTAAAAATGATGAAATCGAGATTCTAAACATTTAAATGGCTTTTCAACACTAGTCTGGTACAGAGATGGGACCAAGGTCAGTGTTTCAACTCTTTTCATAGAGCCTTGAAAAAAAGCAGTTTTCAGGTTCAGCGAAAAGAAGTTATAAGAATAGCAAATTATAAACCATGTAAGCTGGCAGCAGACATTTGAAAAGCAAAAACTGCAATTATTCAGATTAGGGTCATGATGGATAGTGGTTTTCAGGCTACCACTACGTTAATTTTTCTGACAGCATGCTCTAATTTAGAATACGTTGTATTAGAGAACCTTAAAAATGTCTGCTTTTTAAACGTTTAAGAAAACCAAATCAAGCAGAACGTACAATGTTTCTGGCAAATATAATTTTAGACATAGTAAGTAAAAGTAGAAAATTGCTGTTGTTTTTTTTATACACAGAAACTAGTAGGAAACTCAGTGTATGCCGCTTGCTTTAGTGTTTATTTAGCTTGAAATGTTCTCAATGTTTAGCTTTCCTAGGGAGCCTCTTTTCATTTTAGGTGAAAGGGCCGTAATGAACACCTCTCCACTAGCCTATGTACAGATGGTCTTAATCAACAGTTTTATGTAGAATTAACATCAGGTCTGTTGCGTACTTCACTGTTAAGATCATTACCTCACTGAAAAGCTAATTTAGTTTTAATTAAATCTATTTTTCAAATTTCGTTTATAAAATGAAATCTTGAAGGAGTGTGAAACTCCCAAACTACTCCCCTTTGCCTGCAGATAACAGATCGAGCCTTATTATATACATCAAATTACAGAAATAATGAGGTACCATGTGTGCACTAGAGTAAACCAAGATTAAAATGAAGCGTTTCAATGCAAACTTCCACGAAAACAGTTTCACCCACAAGTAAAAAATAAAAACAGAATCCACCATATCTTAATTTAAGGGATGCAAACTCTTGATCATACTGCGATAGCTGTATTCAAATCTTAATCTCCTTCAAGCAACCTGAAATCAATAACTAGTTCTACATTAATATTTTAATAACCCTTCTTTAAATAGATCCCAATTTGGACAGGGGAGCAGTCATCTGGCTACTGTTGCAATAATTCCATCTTCTGGGAGTTGCAGACAGAAAGATCCTCTGCTGTAATATACAAATAATCCACCTCATTTCCCTCCAGACAATGAAAATGTTCTCTGCACAGTCCCAGCTATAGATAAGAAGGCACAGGGGCTGCTAACCATTGTTTACCAAGTGACAGTTCACCCAGCAGCTGATGGGCTCTCTTTGCCCTGGTCTACATTATCTCACCACCTAAGATTATTATAGCCACTCTTTCGCAAGCTGAATAAAGAATGGGTGTGGAAAGTGGAATGTCAGGAAAGAATAGGACCACTGTCCACTTTAACCCTTCCAAAAGAAAGGCAGAGGAGAGGAAGAGCTCGACACTTTAGCTGTTCAGAACTGTTTAATCTTGCCTCAGTGTCCCCGCTCCGGGCCACACTGAGCACCTGGAATCCACAGGGCCAAATTTAACAGAACCATTTCAGAGCTTGAAACTTAAAAGACTATGCAGGTGAGAAACAGGCTGGTAAGGCTGGATCAGTGGTGATACACTGCAACCTATAAAACCCCAAATGACCCTACCAATAATCTCCCTTAGGAAATCACTCCTCTCAAATGATCGGATGTTGCCTGCCCTAGTAGCTAGCAGGGACTTTTGTCTGAAACAAAAATAATTCTTATGAAATCACTGAGAAAGCAGAGCAAAAAAAAAAAAAAAAAAAGCAGCCTTCCCCCACACCAACCCGCGCCCATCCTGCAGGACACTGGGGCTTGGGAGAACACTATCTGGACACAAGTGGAGGGGACATTGTGAGCACGTCACCAGGAAACTGAACGGCATTTTCAAAATAGGCCAATAAACTCAAAGTGATTAAATCCTCCTGAAAAGCCGGTGGAAACAGAGGACATAATTAATATGTTCACGATGAGCACTAAGGCTGGTCTGATTGTCTCAGAGCACTCGAGCAAAACCGGGTGGTGGCAGGCAGGCAGGGAACACACCCACAGCATTTTGTCGATGCACTTGTCACTGAGAAACGTGCCTGGGTTCGGTATGAAAAAGCAGCAAAGGCCTCTGGACAACTGAACTCAACCGCTCACCTGAATGTCTGAAGATTTCCAGATATATTTAAGTTCATCAGGGGTAATGGGACAAGACTGCTTTTCTGACTGTGTTTTCACACATAAAGCCAGCTGCCTGGACTGAATAATTGTGCTACCTTGGTGCCCTTTGATGAAGATAGAAGTAGAAAGAGAAAGCAGGGTCAGGGATGCCCCAGGCAGCCCCATGCAGCACAACTGACATCTGTTAGAAAATACAGCAGACCGGCTAAAAACCAAGAGAATTCCACTTGAATTTCTCGGTCAGTAAGACATCCCCCTATGGCTTTGCAGGTCTTATGTAGCTGCTTGATTACCCTTTGGTCATTCCAGCTCAGGAAGGGTGACAGTCTTGCACAGTAATGGTGACAGAACTGACTTGGGAAAGAAGGGGACACTTAACATGGTCACAATCCTCCAGAATATACCAAAGTAAAATTTCTGGGTCAAGGCTCTTCTTGTTAGGTAACATCTGAATAGAGGAATGCTCTGTCTAATCATGAGAGCCCTGTGCAACATTCCCTAGGAAAGCAGTAGGTCAAGGATGAGTTTTAACCGCCATGAGAAAAAAGTACCAGTGAGCAATGAGAGCATTAAAAAGATAAGTTTTGATTTATAATGTGCACGCTCTACACACCCTGTGCCAAGGCATGCCACCCGCCTCTGCCCCTTGAGATCACTCGTGATCACAGTCCCATTTTGCACCAGTGGGCATGCTCACTGACCTTAATCTGCCAGGACTGCTGTGTTTTCTCCCGAATTGAACGACTGTAACTTAAGCTCCTGAATAACCAAACACATAACTTACACATACATCTGTGTGCAGACTTTTGGTTTCCTAGCTTCCTTCTGAGCTCCTCTACCTCCTTCTCCCTCCTGCTGTCAGAGGACAGGCTGGGAGATGCACTCAGGCAGAGAGAATGGTTGGCCACGACACTTTCTCCACAGGAAACAGCAACCCTACATTTCCCACAAATTAAGCTTCGTCAGTGGGATTTATTTGACCATCTGTACATAGGCTAGTGGAGAGGTGTTCATTACGGCCCTTCCACCTAAAACGAAAAAAGGCTCCCGAGGAAAGCTAAACATTGAGAACATTTCAAGCTAAATAAACAACACTAAAGCAAGTGGCGTACACTGAGAAAAGCAGCCTGCTGCGGTGAGAAAAGCAAAAGGTCTGGAGCTGGGAAAAGAGAAGCTGCACCTCCTACTTGCTATACGGCCTTGGGCGAGTCATGTAAGGTTTCTGGGCTTTCAGCATCCTTGTCTGTGAAACTTGGGGTTATGATAAAAATGACCACAATTATACCCTATGTTGTTGTGAAGACTCACTGAAATACCAAATACACGAGATCAGACTCCAGGGTCAGAGAGCTAGTTCGTTCACTGAGAATGGACCAATGTGAAAGGATAAAGCAAAAAAACAGTTACCCAGGAATGAACTCTGAAATGACTGTTGAGCTGCCTACCTTAAGATCAAAGACGCAATGGGAAACTTCTTTTACAGAACGCTCAATTTCCTGTTGTTTAGCAGGTCGTGTTGTGGATAAACCTCATTTAATCAGAAACACTGCGAGTCAGGGATCTTGCTAAGAGCTGGCGCTATAACCCAACGAGATCATCTTTCTGGCCCTTAGGGAGTTTACATTTGTTGAAGATCTACAAAAGTGTTGATTTCAAGATGGAGTCACATACAACATCACTGGTCTTTCTCTTCAGCACCTTTGAAAATCACTCTGTTGTCTATTACATAAGAGGGGGTGACACAAGCAAATGTACTGCTTGAAACATCTTACTCCAAACTCCCAATCTGTTCTCACCTCTCCTTCTCTGCCTCACTGCTACCTCTTTGCAGGCAAAACAACTACTGGGCTCAGTTGGGGAGAGCAGCTCCTGATAAGAGGTTTAGGTTTAGAATACTCAGCCGTAAACCTATTCTGATGTCAGTTTGAACTGCACACTTTACCACCTTAAATAAGCCCAGGCCCTTGGTCCCCCTGGCCAAAAACAGGGCCTCATTTGGGTAGGTTCAGCATTTGCTGAAAAAAAAAGTACAAATGACATAACCTAGATAAAGGAAGGCCATCCGCTGGTTTGGGCGGAGATATATATTAGAATCTTAACAGAAACATGAAAAGATTCATACCACTGTAGTAATTTACTAACTTGAAAACTGTAATAAAGCAGCTGCCCCCAAATCAATTCCCCCGTATTTTCTCTCAAGTCACTTGAATTGTCTTGACACCCCCCCCCACACACACACACACTAAGTCCTCTGTTCTGCAGGGCCAAGCTGCCCTCCTCCTGGGAGAAAAGATGGAAGTCAGACTGAGGGACCCAAAGCTAAGAGGACCGACAGGAGGCCTTCACTAGCAGGACCTCACAAGAAACACTCAGAGACAGGGCGGCAGAGGTTGCAATTCCCTCGAAAGTGCTCGGGAATCAAGCGGCCTCTCCTGACAAGGAAAACCATCTTGTGGACACCTACAAAGAACAGGCCGGCCAAGCCCACCAAACCCCATGCCTCAAACCGGGCCACACTCATGGGACCCCTGAGCTTAAGGTTTATCACTGAAAACACGGAGGCCCCCCCAGAGAGAAAGAGGGGGCCTCACTTTGTATAAATGCAGGAAAAGCATCTGGCACATCCACAGCCTGACCCACAGCAGGCTCCACAACCTACACACACCTGCACTGGGCAGGGCCCAGAGCTCCTTGGCTAAGGGTAGCCAGATCCCACAGGTGAGAGTGGGCATATTTTGGCCGGGGAGACGGTCAGCGGTGGATCCAAAACGTGATTCTGGCCCCCTCTCCCCCAGCACATCTACAGAGGCAAAGGCGTCAGCAGGAAGAAGCAAGACTTCAAGAAACAAGTAAAGCTAAGTGGGGTGAGAACCCGCCCAGACCCCCAGGTCTTGCTGCTCCTTCCAGAAGTTTTAGGTTAAGTTCCCAAAGCCCAGTGTGTGCGGGGACGGGAAAGCGAAGGGCAGAAGAGAGAACGTGCTTGTCAGGACCGGAAAGGCTGGGCTCGTGGGTCCCCGCCCGCACCCAGGCCATTTGGGATCGCCTCCGGGGCACCTGCGGCGGAGCCGGCTGCTCACCTTGAGATAGTCGTTCTCCGAGCGCAGCTCCTCGATCTCCCGCAGCAGCTCCTCCTCCACCGCCGCCGCCGGTACCAGTCGGGTCTGCTCGCCCGGACCGGGCTCCTTGGGGATCCCGGGGACCGTTCGCTCAAGCGGCGCGCGCCCCCCGGCATCCTCTGCCACACCCGTTCCCGGGGACCCCGCGGGGACCCCGCCCGGGCTGCTCCGACCCCCGAGGCAGGCGCCGGCGGCGGGAGGCGCGGCGAGGAGCGCCGGGGGCTCGGGGCTGCTGGGCGGCGCCCCGCGAGCTGCGGGGCTCGTCGTGGGGGCTCCTCGCAGCGGTTCCCGGTCGCTGGAGCCCGTGCCAGACTCGGCGTCGCTGCTGGCGGCGGGGAGCAGGCGTTGCTCGTCGGACAGGGGTTCGGAGGGGCAGTCGGAGAGGTCCGAGCTGCTGTCGGTGTGGCTGATGCGCGAGCCGGGAGCAGGGGAGCCGGCCGAGGAGGTCACGGCGAGGATCACGGCGGGGATCGGGGCGGCAGGGACCGGGAGCCCGGTGGCATGGGCGGGGGGCGCCCCGGAGCCGCGTTTGGCTTTGCGGCCCTTGGCAGCGGCGGACAGAGGCTCGGTCCCGGGCGGCGGCGGCGGCCTCCCCGCCCGAGGCAGCAGCTCCGCGGGCGCCGTGCGCGCCACCCTCCTGAGGCCCGGAGCGGCCTTGACGCCGCCCGCTGCCCTGGCCCCGGCGCCCGGCGGCGGCTTGTCCTTCGCGCCAGGGGCGCCGCCGCTGCGCCGAGAGAGGCGGCCGGGCGCGGCCAGGGTTCCCGGCGAGGGCGGTGCTTTGCCCGCGAGGCTGGGCGAGCGCTGGGCGCCGGGCGCCGGGGCTCGGCCCGAGGAGGGGGCGGTCGGAGCCGGGCCGGACGCCGGGGGCCGGCCGTGTAGGTCCTTGAGGAAGGGTCTGGCGGGCGAGGGCGCGCGGTGCAGCCGCCTACGCTCGGCCAGCGGGTGGAGGTGGTGGTGGCGGTGGTGCTGGCCGGGCGGCAGCGGCTTCGCGTCCGGGGCGCCACCGCCCGCGAGGCCGTTCAGCGTCTCCATGGCCGGGTCCCGGGCCGCGAGCAGCAGCTCCGGCGGCAGATGCTCCGGGCGGCGGCGGCGGCGGCGTGCAGCCTCCCCGCGCGCCCTCTCATCACTGTCCCCCAGCCCCGCCCGGTCTGCGCCCCGCGCTCCCGCGCCGCCGCCGTACCCCGCTTTCCCCTGGCCCCCAGGATCCCCGCGGGGCTGGCAGCCGCCGTCCTCCCGCTCTCCCCTCGTTGAGGTCACTGCCGCTCGAGTTCACCCGGCACAGCAGCGCGGCGGCTCCCTGCCGCTCGCATCCCCTAGACACGGCGCTCCGGGCTCGCGGGCCCGCCGCCGCGGCCTCGCACACCCGCACTCGCCCGCTGGCGGCGCGCTCCCCGCTCCCGCGTCCGACTCCCCGCCCAGGGCAAACCAGCTCCCCGCAGCGCCCGCCGGCTCCGGCGGAGAGGAACTGCACGCGCGCTCCCCCGCCTCCCGGCGCCCTGCGCCCAGCCACCGCGTGCGCATGTCCCGCCTCCCGCCAGCCGGCGCCGGGGGTGGGGGCGGGGCCTGCGCTCCCCCGGCTAGCGCGCGGGCCTCGGCCCCCACCTTGCTTCGCCCTGGGACCCTCCTTGCTTTTTGTGGTTCTAAGGACAGTGCCTAGATCTGGGGAGGGAAGGAAGTAGCAGGGGTAAAGTGAGGTGGGAGAGAGGCGGGCGCTGACTGCTTGCGGGAGACTGGAGGTCCGGGAGACTTGAGCGGACCCCTCTGTGGTGTGTGCAGTGGGGCGCCCCTCTCCCGCTGTTGTCAGCCAACGCTCCCCACAGGCCCCCACATCAAACCCCTGCCTCCTGGGGCCCCTTAGTTCCCTCTCCGCTGTCTTCTCACGGCTGTGCCCGTAGTCCCCACACTTCTTTGAGGACTAGCTGGTACCCGATGCAGCTATCACGTCAAAACAGGCCCGGTGCTCCACAGTTGGCACCCCCAGTGGCCTCCGGAGCTCAGAGACCGAGGAGCTGCTGTAGAAATAGGAGAAGCCGCTCGCCAAGCTTGGGGTCAGAAAGGAAACTCACATTTATAGTTCCGACTGGGAGCCAGGCACTGTTAGACACTTCGTAGGCATTGTTTTATTTAATCCTCATAATAAGCCCGAATTGGAATTACTGTCTTTTTTAAGGATGAGGATACAGGCGCAGGGAGGTGAAGTCGGTGCTTTAGCCAGGCCATGGCCGGGTGGGGATTCACACCAAGTCTGTGGAATTCTCAGTCCTAGGTGCTGTCCCCTCAGAGAACCACGGCTGTGAGTAACCGTTCTGCCACTTGAGAGTCTAACGTGGGCCACTGGCCTTTTCAAGCCTCAGTTCTCCTGCCTGTATAATTAGAAAATACTACTAGGTGAGTGTTGGGAGGATTAAATGGGCAGATGTGAGGAACACTGTGCAAACGGTAAAGTACTTTTCAAATATCCTTGAGTGCGGGTTTTGTCCCAGACATTGGGTGTTGGGTAATACTCAAAGGACTAAGGCCCATCCTGTCCTCTAGACTTGGCTTTGCCAGAAGCAAAGGGACAGGCAATAATTACGAGTTGCTAGGGTGGGCATTTGCCCCCTACCTGGGAAGACTGGCGTTTTCCTGAGATGTGGTTGGGTGCCCAGGATTTACAGAGCAGGGGTTGTAGGTGAGAGATGGGGGGCGAGTGTGGCCAAATATCCTGTGGCTATTATCCTAAGGGATGGGGGAGCCTTTGGAGGATGGTGAGCATGGCTGATCTTATTTGCCTAGAAAGATCCCAGTGGCTGCATTAGTGAGGAGAGGGAGACCAATGAGGGGAAGGAGTCAGTGGTGGCAACAAGCACAGACCAGGCGTTTATGGCAGTAGGGGTCGAGAAAAGCGGACAGACTTGGAAAGATACAAGGAAGAGGAGGCTCCAAGGTCTATGATCTTAACCACAAATTACCCTACTGAGCCAACTCCTTCAAAAAATACAGGATAAAGTGATTTTTAAAAAATCACTGTAAATCAGGAGAATCATACTCCCAAAAGACATCCTGTCTGCTGCTTCTTAGATGCCGGCAGTGATACTGGGCCATCTTCCGTGGCTGAGCTCTGAGGGCACTGGGATCCCATCCTCTCTGCTGCTGTTCTTGTTTTTTGTGAGTCATTTATCTGCAATTCCTCTGAATGTGTGACAGCACACTCAGAATATAATCTGTACTGAATCTCCTTTGACGCAATATCTAGTAAGACCACAGCCGTATTTCATGGAGTATTTGAAGAAAAAGGACACTGGTAAGCAACAACACTGCAGAAAGGAAGGGGTGGGGGTTAGTGCCCAGCCACGGTGGGGTGTCGGGAGGGCCCCCCCAGCAGCCAGCTCTCCCCTAGAGGGCGCTCAAACTCTCAGTTGGAGTCAGTTAATCAGAAAGTGGCAGCCGGGTCAGTCCTGGAGCACAACCCACTGTAACTCAGGGGCCAGGACCTTCACATAGAACTTCCTCCAAGACCCAGAAGTCTCCAGTACCCTACATTTCTGAAGAATTATGTCCAGGACTTATAGCACAAGCTGGTCAGCTGCTCATACTATATATAATCATGCACAAGGCCACCTGAAAATGTTCCGGTAAATTAGCCTTCCAAAAGTACTAGCCGGATGACCATACTATTTGTAGCCAGCTTCCCTTTCCTCAGGTAACAAGTCAAGCAAAATTCATACTCTGGCAATTGTTTCTACTGGCCCTTGGCAAGGAGGCGTTCGATAATGCTTTCTTTTTCTATTCAGTGAGTCACAGGTATAAAAATATATCTGCTTGCATGATAGATGTTTTTAAGTCACATGTGATTTTTTAAAAAAATTTTGTTGCCCCATTAAGTTAGTCTAAAGGTGTTGGGAGTTACTATTTAAAGGAGGCTTAAGGTTCTTTCTTCTGGAAAACAACAACAAAATCCCATGTGGGTGTGCCTCTTTGGATCTGTCTGCTCTCAGACCCAGTCTTTGCTTGACTGCTCTGCACAGAGGAAGGAGCAAATGGTGAAGGTTGGTTTTGGAAGGAAGGTTTGCTGATTGGGTTTGGCTGATAGAGATTGGAGTCTTAACAGCAAGGGAGAAACCAGGTTTATTTATTACCTTCTCTGTCTGCCTCAAGTGACTTCTTCAGAGTGGCCCAGTTTCCTTTGTGGACTGGCTTATTGGGGTTCCAGCATTCACTGGATGACCTGAAGCCTCTGGTAACTTTCCCTCCTCCTGTTGCCTCTTGGTCAAGGGTCCTAGTGGCTTCTTGTGGTTGCAGATCTCTGGGTTACTTCACTGTCCCCCGTTTGGCTCTCGATTCTTCCCCCACTCTATAACCAATTCACTGCACTGTAAACCCTGTGTTATAAACACTTGCACTACATACCAACTTTCCGATTTTCTCATTCTTTTGCAGAAGCCTAAGTACAGGCCTAGGGAACTGCATGCAGCAGCATTGGTATAACAGGTAATTTGGTATGACTGTATCCGGTGTGGTATAGTGACAAGAGCTGAGGCTTCCACACCACGTAATCTGGGTCCAGCTCCTGCCTAAGGCACTAATTAGCATGCTCTGTGCCCTTGGGTAAGGTATAATTATCACTATCATCATCACCATCATCTATTTAATACCAGGGGAATAATCAATACTCTTTGACATGTGAGCACACACAACTTGGAGCAAAAGTTAGAAAACCTAGTCTGTATCTATACAGTTATATAAAGAGAAACGGAGTTTTTTTTACTTTGTTTGACACATAGTAGAAAAAAATATGGCATGGGACTACACTTCCCCTACTGCACTGTATGCACAGACAGAATTATATACAGAATTTCTGCACTCTCAAAACCTTGTCCAAACCTACGGACATTCTTTTCTAGTTTTTTTCTGCTTATTTGAACTCAAAAGTGCATTTATAATATGAAATTATTCCTCGCTTAAATCATCAGAAGTAATCCTTTTTGAAAAGACTAGGAAGAGAAGATTTTTAACAGAATGAGTGCTGTGTGTGTATGTTTCAGGAAAATTGGGGTTAAAAAAGGAAACTTGAAGTCAGGGGGCCCTCCTGAAGTTGAAGCAGAAGCATCCAACCCTGGAGGTATGTGGGGGTGTCTTCCAGCTTCTCTT